CCCGCCAGGTGCAGTGAAGGGGAGCTGGTGTGGGGAAGCTATTCCCAGGCCAGAAGCTGGCCCATCCCCGTGGTCCTACTTCTGACTCTGCCCCAGACTTGCCCATCACCGGGCCCCCTGGGCATTCTGCTGTGGACACAGTGGACTGCCATGGGTCCTTGGACGAGAGGGGCAGGTCCCCCAGAGGCCACAGGAAGGCGGTTGAGGGAACCCCTGGCGTGTGGAAACGGACACTGTGTGTAGAACCCAGGAGGTGTCTCTGAGGGAGAAGACAGGCTCCCCAGCCCCTGGATTCCCTGAGTGGGAGGCTGGCCTGGGCAGAGCCCAGGATGTGGGGGCCGCGGGGCTGCTGGGCCCGCCCTGGCCTGCAACTCTCCAGCTGCCTTTGACCAGCAGTTGCGTGGTGACAGCCTGAGTGTCTGCCCTCAGCCACAGCCCGTGCTCCCGTCTTCCAGTGGAGAGTTTGGGCTGGAACAAATGTTTTTCCTGGCCCAGGAACTTGTATACATTCTTGTTGCCCCTCCGCCACCAGCCGGGGCTGTTACCAAGCCAGGCAGCAAGGACAGACTGTAGTTGGACAGTGGGTGTGGCCAGAAAACCGGTCAGTGGACGTGTCTCCTCAAAGCCACCTTTTGTGAATCCCGCTGAACCAGAGATGAGCTCCAGGGAGGGCCCTTCAGCCAGTGCAGCCTTGGGGAATTTCTCCCTAGGGGGTTGGGGGGGGCGTGCAGCTAAACGGAAGGACCCTGCTTTCAGCCTGTTGTTAGGTGACCTTGAGAAGGCTCTGACTTGTAGCCACCCTGTGATCAACAGAAGGACATTGATGCCCGCTCCTGCACTGTGGTAGTTACATAATCTGGTGTCAATTTGAGAGGATTAAGAGTGGAGGGGTGGAGTCTAGTCTGTCAATTGGATAATATAGCCAATGAGGCCTCTGTGTGGGCATGGCCTTCTCCTGAGAATTCTGGGAAATCCATTATTCCTTCTTGGAGATGGGAGACACTATCTCTTTGCTCATTCCCTGAGACTACGCTCTACTCACAAGACACATGGCGCTATGCCCTGGGAGCTGGAGAAGCCACGTGGACCTACCCTGATGCAACCAGACCTCTGAAACCGGAGAAGCCATGTGGAGTCCCCTGCCAGCGCTGAGATGCTTACAACGCCACTGGATCAAAAGATTTTCTACTCACTGGTCTGTGATCTTCCTGCATTCGGCATCATTGCATGGGTTTCATGAGTCTGAAGAGGACTTTATAGATTGCTATCGGACATATGGGCTAATATCTGACTTATGGCTTTGGACTGGACTGGGTTGGGATGCTTTCTTAATATACAATTACC